CAAGAAGTAATGCAAAAGAGGAGCAGAGAAGGCATCTTTGGCTACATATAGCGAGACAGACAGTGTAGTGTTGTAGCAATTCTGAAGTGTGTTTACAATTGTAGACTTTAGGCTCAGTTTGGAAAGAGTATAAATACAAAAATGTACACTGCAAATACATACAAAATAATATAAATAAACATGGCTTTGCACTCTACATATTTGTATTTGTATCCAAAATGAGCCTTAGCAAAAGTGTTCAAATGATCGCCTGTAGTAGCAATTCTAAGAGATTGACTCTTGTCTCTTCGACTGTGAATAGTGGATGTCTTCAAAGCTTCATAGAGTTATATGATTCAAATGGAAAAGACATTTTCTTGATCTCTTTTCCTTATTTGGTTCTTTCTTGGGATGATTGAATGGTCGAACATGAGGAGCAATCCAGACTCAGACAGACGTTCTTTGTTTTCTTTTACATGATGAGAGAAATAAGTGCCCTTGGAATCGGAATATGAACCAGAATCAAAATCCTCTGTAATCGGAATCGGAATGGTCCATTCCCATAGTCTATTTGATTCAGACAGGAATAGGAATGAAAATTAAAATCAGCAAGAATGGAATTTCATTCCCAAGGGAGAGACAAGGAATGGCCATTCCCTCAAATGAGGGAATGTCTTTCCAGCAGGAATGGGATTCCACAACCAAACAGTTGGAATTGGAATAGCCCATTCCAATTCGATTCCAGACCCCTATTCCTATAAACCAAACGGACCCTAAATACATGGTCTATGAACAATCATATTGGAATCTTTAGAATGACACTAGTTTTTTGGTTATAAAAATCTAATAAATTTTGCTTGGGCGATGCCATGGGAAGGATGTCACGAGTGATTTCTGTGTTGTGTGTACATATAGTTGTGATAATATATTAGGAATTATTTGGACTGAAGCATTTTGAGACTCTTTGTTGTGTCTGTGAGAGAGAAAGAACTCGTTGTCATCCCTCTCAATTAAATCCATAAGTAGATAATGTATAAAATTCCAGACCCAAACTAGGAGGTTTTTGTGGTGTGAATGGAGAGAATTAAAAAGACTGAAAGTGTTACTTCAATAATTTTGTCGAGTTATTGAAGGATTAAAAGGGTTATGATGGTGCGCGATCTAAATACTCATAGTTGGAAGACGACCTGAACTCTGGTTGGGCGGCGAGCTGGACCGATTTGTAGAATAGTAGATCAGAGAACCTGGGGTAGCTGACTCGGCGAGGTCGCTCCGATGCTTAAGTCAGTACTTATACTATAAACGCGAGCTGAATCTTGAGTGCTTGAATGGTAGTGAAGAAAATAATCATGCGTACCTTTGCCTTGAGGTTTCTTGTCCTTATATAATGAAGTAGTCATGGGCCTTACGAAAGAGTTCTGGGATCTCCGGGCTGTGCAGATAAGGCTTGTTACGTTTTTGAAGGAGAGTAAGATGTTGATAAGGTTTATTGTTTACCTCCGATTCAGGCGGAGCCAAGATGAGTTCTCATGATCTCGAGAAATTCGGGATTTGTTGGGGAGGCCTTTGGAGTCGGTTATGTGGCATTTCGGCTCATTAGCTCCGAATTGGCACTTCGATTCTTTATTCCCGAACTGTATTGGGTGTCAAGGTGTCTCTATGCCGAGGGGGTTTTTTAGGACGAGGTGGCTGGATACCCGAGTTCCGAATGTTGTGAAATGGGTTCGTTTGGCTGAGTTGTCACCCCTCGAGCACATCGCGTCTACATGTCTCCTTCTTACTAGGTCGTGCCAAATCACCCCTCATCAAGTTACTTTAGTAATTTTGTATGTAAAAATCATTCATAAATGGGTATTTGGAAAAAAATGGTGCATGAATGTAACGTTTTCCATTTGAGGAGGTAACAGAAGAGAGGTTTTTGTTGCATTTCTCAAAAGTTTTGGGGAGGTATTTATTAAAATGAAAATATATGGGAGTTTTTGTATTTTCCCTAACCTTTTTAATAATAATATCTCCTCATTAATTATGCCATTAACTCTCCATTACTCCATTAAATTGCATAAAATACATTAACTTTATCTATATATCCATTCTAATTTAACTATATATATATAAATATATATTAGACATATTTACATTAAATTATAATTATTAGTAAAGATTAATTATATTGAAATTGAGATATTCAATGATTTATTATTGTGCTAAATAATCTACTTTCATTTAAAATTATAATCTATTTATTTGAAAATAATAAAAATTATTGTTATTGATAACAATAATAAAAATAATTTAGTAAGCTACTTAAATAAAATAAAAAAGTTATTAAGTATTGTTATTTATTAAAATATGCTTATTAATATAATAAAAAGAATTTGATTAATAAAAGGAATAATATAAATTAAAAGCTAATGTCAATTTAAAATTAATATAAAACTAATACAAAATTTCAAACAATTATTAGTTTTATAATTAAATTTTATTAATTTAAAACCAACTTAAATTCCATTGAAAAATAAAAAAATTATATAGTTTTATTAAATTTCGTAAGGAATTTAAATTTAATAAAAACTTAATATACTTAAATAAATTCAATTTTTGCTAATTTAAAAATTAATACAAATATTAATTTTAAATATAGTTTAATTCTTTTAAAATTAATTTAAATTCCATTTAAAAATAGGGAAAATTATTAAAACCTCCTTAGGTTTTCTAACAATCCTATAAAACTTCCTAGTGTTTTAACCTTAACAAATAACCACCCTTATTGTTTTGAATAAAGATGCAAATACCTTCCTCTCATCAGCATTCCAAATAAAAAGTGTTGATTTAATGCATTAATTTTACTTCACTTCAGCCTTTGACCTTACTTTGTTCAAGAAGAGTTAGGAGAATTATTATTTGGAAAAATAAACTAGTGATGCATAGAGTTGAAACTTTAAATTATGTATGCTAATGCAAAGGATAAGGGTATTTTGGTAACTTTAATATCTTTATTACCGAAAAGCCAAGGAAAAGGAGATATTTGCACTTTTTTCTCAAAACTATAGGAAAGACCTTTGTTAAGGTCAAAATACAAAGGTAATTTATAAAATTGTTATAAGAGGATATTTGTTTTTATAATTTACCTAAAAATAATAATAAGCAATAAAAATTAATAACAAAATCTTTTTAAAAAATAATAAAAATTAGCATTGCGATATAAAAAATAATATAAATTTATCTAGAGAATAAGAAAATCACTACTTTCACTAAAGTGCAACTTAAATTGTGATCGGATAAACTAGATATATCCCCCAAAAATAATACTTGAATTGATTTTAGTTGGACATCATTTAATGTAAATATAGTATAGTTCCATCTTCAATTTTACTTATAAATAATTAAAGTCCCTATATACATCGCACTGGTCCAAAGTACTATCTATATGTTAACTTGAGAGCCACCCATCGAGGAAAGGAGGCGATCTTTAGGGTTTTCTTTGGGGGTGGCTCCCTTACGAAGGGAGCCACTCATCTAGGTTGTCCTTCCCCTTCCCCCATCTGGTTTCTCACTTTCTCTCTCTCTCTCTCTATTTTGTGAGAGGCTCCCCTTGAGTTTACTCGAGGCTTTGTTCTCTAGTTTCTCCCATCTGGACTTTTCTTTCCTCCTGTTTTTCTCCCATTTGCGCTTTGACATGGGGTTCTTCCCTTGGACTTTATTTTACCGTTGGATGTAGCTTTACGATTGCCATTTATGATGGAAAAACTTTAGCTACTAGGGGCCAATAGCATAGGCTGTTGAGACAGTTTCTAGAAATGCCACATTACTATGAGAATGGGTAAATTAGTAATTACATCTCAATTTATTTTGACTAAATACCAAAGCATGGGCATGAATAGGTGGACTACCTAGAATGTACCCAGTCCAAAAACTTTCTCAACAGCCTATGTTGTTGGGCCCCAACAACCCAAATTAACCCGTCTATGATTGAGTTAGTTCGCGGTAAGGCTGCAACTTGGGTCGGGTTTGCCCGAACCCAACCCGAAAAAGTTGGGTTGGGTTGGGTCAGGTTGATGTTTGGGTTAGGGTTAGGGTTAGGGTTGAAATTCATGAACCCGATTTTACTTCGGGTTGAGTTAGGATTGAGCCCTTAGTCAACCCGACCCAACCTGAACCTAAATCTATAGTATATGTCATATATAAATATATGTTATATGTAATATATAACATACATTGATTTGTTTAGATGCATGATATTTGTATAGCCCCCACCACATAGTATCATGTATTTCTTTTAAGATAATCGCTTCACTTAATCCTAATAAAAAAGACTAAAACCTTAATAACATTATTTTATGTTTTTTGAAAATTTTATTCTTCATCTCTTCTATGTTGTTTGCCACCCAAAAAAGATCTATCATAAGTCATAACTCATAATAAAATATAGTCATTTTTAACATTTATTTTTCTGAACTTTGTACTAAAAAAAATAACATCAACAAACAAATACTAATGAAACATTGGATTAATATATATAGTGAAAGTCGAGTTAAGATCTAAAGTCAAGAAATTTTATGAGGTTTTAAAGGACGAGAAGAAGGTTGGGTTGGGCCCAACCTGAATTTTGGGTTGAATTCGATTGAGCTAAGGTTGAAGAAATTTAGTTAGGGTTTAAAACTTAGAATTGGGCTAGGGTTGGAGCCCTAGTTCGCGACTCTTTGGCACATGCTGCTCACGGTGACTTCTGTTCGCATCTCTCCGTCAAAGGCAGTCTTTTAGAGTCGTCTGTCTACTGACCGTTTGTGATTGATTTGAGATGTGTGCTTATTTACTTGTATTGGTGATTTTATTTACGTTTATTCAGTTTGCAGAAATTCTTTATGTTTTCTTTCATCTATTTGTATATTTTATTCTCCCGATAAATTGTTTTTGAGTTTTTTGGTTGACCTTATCGGTTTCTATTTTTTATCAAGAAAATTTATTGACATATATATATATATATATACACCCCGTCTTTTAAAAAATAAATCTTTTCCAATAGAAACCTAATCCTCACTCACTTTCCCTCTCTTCCTCTCTCTTACTCATCACCGTAATGCACACCCTTCATTGTTTCTCAATTTCTTCTTCTACCCTCATCGATTTTTTTCTCCGTTCTTCCTCCCTTTTCGTCTTCCCCCAACCTTCTAACGGCCCCCCTGTTCTCAGCCTCCGGTCATGAGCAAACCACACTAACAGCCGCCACTTGAATCCATTATCTTCTCGGTCGCCGGCGAAAGCTGTATCGAGAGGATTGTTTCTTCTCTCCAATCTCCCGGTTGCGATCATCAGTCGTCATTATCGTTTGAAGAAAGGAAACTAAGAACGAAACACTCTCGGTTCCCTCGTTGCAGCGTCCAATCTCAGGCCAAATTCGATTCTGGTGAGTCCAGTTCTCACCGTAATCTTTCCGTTGCTTTAATGTTTGATTCATTGTATTGTTGCAACACCGCTATGGGATAATCGATATCTGGATGGTTGCCGGAGCCGGTGATGAAGCTTCTGCTGAACTGGTTCTGTGAAAACCTTGAAACTTACTCAGATCTTTCGCAGCTTTCCTCTTCTACACTGATTACCGTGTGCATTTTTTCGAGGAAAGATGTTCCTAGCTATTCGGAGAGACGATTAGAGTTCTGCTGTTTTCTCTCTCTCTCTCTCTATTTTTTTCTAGTTCAGTTCCTCTGTCTGAAGATTCTGCTCATAACGATGCTATCCATTTCACTATGTTTTTTTGTTTTCGATTAGTGAAGGCCGAACTCTGTTTGAATAAAGTAGCTAGTGATTCATGTATCCCCATGCATCTTCTCCTTTCAATCATTTCATCACAGTAGTCTAGAATAAGTATTTTGTTTTGTTTTGTTTAGGAATCGGTCCGAAGACGAAATTTGTTTTGCTTCTGCTAGTTGATGTTTAGAATGAGTATTTTGTTGTGCTGATCGAATGAATGTTGAAGGCTTGAATTGTCTGTTTAATTTGGTCATACGACACTGTGATAAAGGATTTCAGACTTGCTGGCTATTTTTGTCGCCTGAGCTGAGGAAGACCGCCCAGTAAATGAGAAGTTTGATTCTCATAGCTAAAAATAAGAAAATAAAAAAATAAAAAAGAACAGAAGAAAGGGGGAAAAAGTAGATAATGATAACAAGGAATAGATAGCAGAATGGAGATGGTCCTTTGATGTGCAGAACCGGAATGAGAGGGGTGATTGGCCGGGGAGGACAAATTAATCCAATCATAAAGAAAAACAAAAATATAAAAAATAAAATAATAAATCAATTGGACAAAAGGGTGAAAGGGTGAGGCTAGTTAAATAGATTCGACCATATTTGGGTGACAAGGGAGGAGAATAAGCTATCAAAATATTGATCAAAAAAAGAATAAGCTATCAAAAAGGAACAATAATATAAAATAAATAAAATTTAAAAAAATAAAAAATAAAAAATTGATAAAAGAATATAATAAAAGAATAGAGTAAATAAATTGCTAGTCCAATAAAATCAATATGTATACAAATAGGGTTCCATAAGAAAATAACATGATAAAATCAAATTCAAATAAATAAATAAAAGTAGAAGTGGGGTGGATTCTCTTGTGTTGACTTATTCTTGGCTTGTTTTGCTTTCTCTATCATTGTTGTCTTTAGGTAATTAAAGAAACATGCATTTGTGCTTGTGGTTGCTTAGGTTCCATGTGGGCTTCACCTATTGGACCCGGGAGAGGGGTGCTTAACCCCTTCCCTTTCCCATCCGAGTCATACCCGGACTGGTTTAGCTGGTGCCTTGGGTTCGGAGTCAATATCAAATGAAAATATTTTTGAAAACCATTCTTGGAGGTCCCATCACCTCTAATTCTTGCAAATGATGGGTGGTGACCCAAACCAACCCAAGTGAGTTGTTTCCCAACACTCACACCACCCTAATCAGGTGAAAACTTGATTAGGTAATGTTTTGCCTTTGTTCTTGGATCCAATGGTGTGAGGGATTCTCTCAGGGATGAATTCCTAGCTGTATAACTCAAGGGGTGCAGATGACAATATTTGAATATGGATGAGTTCATTGTTGGGAATGTAAACTGGTAGTGGGATGGCTAAAGAGCCAGAGTCTGTAATGTGGATTTGTAGAGATGAAATTAAGAAGTTTAAATGGTTAACCAGAAGCATGACTTTGAGGACTCAATGGGTTAGGAGATCAGCTAATGGGATAGCTGATTCTTAGCCAACCAAGGGGTTTAATAGGGATTATTTGTATTGGGCTCAGTTGTAATTTTCTTTTTTGATTGTTCTTATGGGAGAGGTTGCATCTTGCTCTTCTCCCTGGGTTGTTTGTAATGCTTGTATATATTGATGTTTTTCTAATAAAAGTTAAAGTTGTAAAAAAAAAAGGAACATTAGATTCTAACTTTTCCAGTCAGTAGGTATGGACAAAATTACTATACTTTTATTTTATTTATAAGATGCATTAACTTTTTAATCATTAGACTTGTATTGGTCCTGAATTTTGATGATGCTATATGAACTAACTAGCATGTTGGTATACATGAAGTGAAAGTATTTCTCTCTTTAATTACCTTTGCAGCATAACTAGCTACATGTCTTTGCAATTGGATTTGCAGCTTAACATAGAGTGTATCCTCGTTCCTGCGGGTGTAACTGCTTATGCTCCAGTGTTGATCAGGGCAGCTGTTGTGAACAAGTTATGGAACTAATAATTGGGAAAACCCAACGGAGCATGGTTACATTAGTTTCAGCACGGTTATTCCTCTATGTTGGAGATTCTCTGCCATTACGAAAGTTATCAAGTTTATCCAGTATAACTGGGATTCACAATAGTGTGCGGTTCCAGAGATCAAATGATAGCAATAGTGGGCCCCTAACCCTTGCAAGCCTTGGATTCAAACCTAAAGTTGAGACGACAAAGAGAAATAAAAGCAATAAGCTTGGGCAGGTAAATGTGGCTGTTGAAATTTCTAAGACTAAAATCAAGCCAGTTAAGAGCAGTGGAAGCAAAAATGAAGTTAAAAAATTCCTTGAAATAGAGGCAGCTCCTTTTGCTGCAAAGACATTCTCTGAGCTGGATCTCTCACCTTTGATAATTGAGCGGTTGGAGAGAGAAGGCTTCACAGTTCCAACAGATGTTCAGTCCACAGCAATTCCCACCATTACAAAGAATCATGATGTCGTAATACAGTCTTACACAGGTTCTGGAAAGACACTAGCCTATCTCCTTCCCATACTCTCTGAAGTGGGTCCCCTGAAGAAAAAAATATCAAATGGGGATGAATCTGAAAAGAAAACTGGTATAGAAGCAGTTATTGTTGCTCCTTCAAGAGAACTAGGTATGCAAATTGTGAGAGAAGTTGAGAAGCTTTTTGGACCATATGACAAGAAGAAGGTTCAGCAGCTTGTTGGGGGTGCAAACCGATCAAGGCAGGAAGAAGCTCTTAAGAAAAACAAGCCTGCAATTGTTGTTGGAACACCTGGACGGATTGCAGAGATTAGTGCAGCTGGAAAGCTGCATACACATGGTTGTCGTTTCCTTGTTTTAGATGAAGTTGATGAGCTCCTTTCCTTCAATTTCCGTGAGGACATGCATAGGATATTGGAACATGTTGGAAGGAGGTCCGGGGCAGACACATCCTCCAGCTCAAAGAGTGCACTAGCTAGGTGGGCTGAACGTCAGATTATCATGGTTTCTGCAACTGTGCCATTTTCTGTGATACGTGCAGCTCGGAGCTGGGGACGTGACCCTCTTCTTGTTAGAGCAAAAAGTGTTGTCCCACTTGAGTCTGTGCCTCCTGGACCTGTGTCCTCGTCAAGCACTACTTGTGTTTCTACATCTAACTCAATGACTCAAGGTGCAATTGAGAGCTTACCACCTGTCCTGAAGCATTACTATTGTGTAACAAAACCGCAGCACAAGGTGGACACCCTGAGAAGATGTGTTCATGCACTCAATGCCAAGTGTGTGATTGCTTTCATGAATCACAACAAACAACTAAAGGATGTTGTGTTCAAGCTAGAGGCTCGTGGATTGAAGGCTGTGGAGCTGCATGGGGATCTCAGCAAGCTTGCCAGATCGACTACTCTGAAGAAATTCAAGGATGGGGAGGTGAGAGTGCTGGTGACGAATGAACTATCAGCAAGGGGATTGGATGTCTCAGAATGTGATCTTGTGGTCAATCTTGATTTGCCTACTGACTCAATACACTATGCACATCGTGCTGGCCGGACAGGTCGGCTGGGTCGAAAGGGAACGGTTGTCACTATATGCGAGGAGCCTGAGGTATTTGTTGTGAAGAAGCTTCAAAGACAGCTTGGGATCCCTATTTGTGCATGTGTGTTTACAGAGGGCAAGCTTATTGTCTCGAAAGAAGAACAAGACCATGAACCAGAACAGGAGGTGGAATAAGAATGCAATCATACTTATGTACCTAGTCTTCAAGTCTTGTTTCTTCCTATTCTTCCGAATTTCCTGGTGGATAAACAAAAGTTATGCTGTTTATTAAAATATGTTAATATTGATAGAGGAACTTTGTTCTTGGGTCTGTACCTTCAAGCAACTGAGGGGTGGCTTGGTTAGTAGGTTAGCTGGTTTGTTCTGCACAGCCACTTCCAACTAGACCTGTTCATGGGCCGGGCTCGGGATGGACTTTCACTCTGTATTAACAGATTTTTCTAAGGCTTGAGAGAGAGAGAGAGTGAGAGAAATTATAAAGAAAAAAATAAAAAAATGTATATATTAAATTATAAATATATATATTTCAATAAATATTATATTATTTATATATTTTATATAATATATAAAATACATATTATGTATTTTATAAAATATATAATGCCGAGTCAGGCTCGGGCCGGGATTTTTTGACAAATCCCGAGCCTGGCTCGTAACCCAGTCGGGCTTACTGTGTTAGGCCTGAGGTCAGGCCCGCGGGCCTAATTACATGACCAAGCCCGACCGGGGTACAGGCCGGGCCATCGGGCTATCCGGCCCATGAACAGGTCTACTTGTAACCGTGTATTGGGAATATCTCCGTACTTGCATATTTTTGTTCATGGGGGAGATATTCCTAATGCACAGTTGCAAGGGGCTGTGAGGACAGTGTGAGCATGGTCTTGAGAGGACTGAATCCGAGTTTGTTCGTTCCAGTATAGGTGGGGATTCGATTCCAACAACCACCAACACTTGGGGAGGGGAGTTATTAGTGTGGGCGTATCATCAAATATCAAAAGAAAACTCTGCGCTTGGTAGTGATCAAAGTTGATATTGATCAATTTGTTTAAGAAGCATTATGAAGGTAAAATACCAATGAGTTTTGAAGCTGTTAGGTTTAGGAGTAGGGAATCAAAGATGGGATGGAGACAGGATGATCAAGGTTAAAGGCGTAATGGCCATAAGCCTCAAAACTTAAGAATAAAACTAATTAATTAAGGTTTGTAAATCGATAAAAAATAACATATAAAAGGACAAGTAAGTAGGATTCTGATAAATACATCACGATTCACGAGGAACTAAAAGGGTGCTTGTAAAACTGTACCAAATTACACTGACAGTGGATTTTCTTTTCCACCCCCCTCTGAAAGATGGGGACTTGATGCAGGGAAATTCTACTAAATCTTTATGGTCTACCGAGGGCAATGCTGTGATTGGTGATGAAGTTGATGATTATGGGAATGCATTGATGGGGGCTGATGACATGCTTGCCTCATGGAGGAGGAAGAGCATTGATTCTTCACCTTGAAAGAGTTTCCAGGATGAAAATAATGCTAATGCCATAATATCATCAAACTCAACTGCTTCAACACTCTCAAACTATGGCTATTACTGAAGAGGAGCATATCAAGAAAAGGGAGGATGACAAAGTTAGCGATGCGAGAGAGGAGGAAACGGGGACGGCGCTAGAGGATGAAGAAGCAACTGCTGTGCAGGAGAAAGTGAGACAGATAAAAGCTTAGGAGGAGTTTGAAACTTTTAATCTCAAGATTGTGCATGGGAAAAACAGGCATGTTTTGCTTCCATTTTTGGTTTTTTTTTTTTGGGTGGAGAGAGTGAGGGTAAAATGTCGTACGGTTGTTTAAATATGAGTTATTAGTCATTGTTTTCTCGCATGCTGTTCTAGCAATATGCTATCTGTGCTAGAGTAGTTCAATTATTACTTTTTGGTAACCGCTGGTGGATGTCTTCGTGAGAGGCTTTCTAAGTTCCTCTTTCTCCATGGTATTGTATCTATCTCACTTGATTATCCAGTTTCTTTTCCCTGCAGGATGGGCTTTGAAGAGGATAAAAATTTCCATCTTGTTCTAAATTCAGTGATTGCTGGATATTATCATGTCACTGAATTCCTTGGATCAGCTGCATTTAGCAAAGCTATTCAAGCACATGATTTGCATACAGGTATGGGTGTCTATCTGAAAATTATCAAGAACAACAAAGACTTGTTTGATCAGAGCGTTGATGAAATAAAGCTTCTCAAATATGTCAAAAAGCATGATGCAGCTGACATATACCATATTCTATGCTTGTATGATTATTTCTACCATCGAGTAAGTGAATGTTTCCAGTAGTTGTTTTACCATTGACTTTTGCATTTTCTAGGAGCATTTGTTATTTATTGTCTTGACTTCAATGCATATATCATTTTCCTTTTTCCTTCTGTCATTCTTCTTATTATGGTTTATGCATCTCCCTGAGTGCTTAATGAATTGGAGGGTCATTTCTAACTGGTTCACGGACAATCTAATGCAGGGGGCAAGTGGTCAGATATGAAATTTCTGATATTCTTATGTGTTTTTTATTTTTAGATACTAGCGGTATTTTGGTCATTTTACATGTTTTTCTGACATTAGAATTCGATTTTTCTGGTCACAGTTTAGTTTTGTATAAAATTTCATAATAATTGGTAAGTAGTTTAGGAGTTATCTAGTTTTTCTTGTTCTAGTGGGATTGACTACCCATATAGTGTCTATATATGTATGCAAAAAGGTGGTTATGGATATTTTGATTGTAACTTATTCTTATTATTGCTATTCTGAGTGATTCATATAAGTCCTATAGTGATTCTATTCTAGGGCTGATTGAATTGTTCTAGATTTTGGTCTTTATCTTCTCTTTAATTCTTGCAAGCAGCCATTAACAGTCCATAAATTGACATCAGAATGCAAAACTCTTCTATTTCAGTGTTTTTGTCCTTTGTGCCTATTAGTGGAAAAATTTTAGTATAATTTCTCACATAACATAATTTGCCCAATCAGAATGCAAAACTTTTCTATTTCAGTGTCCCTGAATTTTTAAAAACAACTTATATGTACCTTACAAGATGGCCCCACATAACACAAATAGGCCATCTGTTAAGAAAACATTTACTTAGGGACATTTGATAATTGATGTCTCTGACTCCTCATCTGTAACCCCTTGGCACCATCCTCAATGTCTTTTAGAGACGACATCTCTGACTCTTGTCTTTTGTCAAGATTTTGGTTTTAGAATCTAAAAGGTCTAAGATTAGACTTCTAAATGGTGAAAACAGATCTCTCTCATATATGACTTAGGTCTAAGATTTAGAATCTAAAAGGTCTCAGCGCAGAGTTTGAGATCGTTGAGGAAGTACTGAGTACTGAGGGGTCTCTCTCATATATGACTTTGGGTAAACAGGTGAGGTTCAAAATTTTCCCCCAGTCATTTTGGTTATGGCCAAATGAATATTCGGTGGTGTTTGCTTGCTTCCTTCAATGTCTTCTCATAGCTGTTTCACTTCAGGCATTGAAGAAAGCAGTGGTCACAGGAAACCCCAAATCATTCTCCTCTGTGAACTTTTGAGTGCTGAAGTGGTTCCTTGAAGTAGGTGGAGTGATTGTTTGTCTTTGTTTCTGCTTGAAGAGAACAAACACAAACATGCGATCCCAGTGTTAAGTCTAGGTATCTCATAGTTCACCACCTCTCTTCCTGTATAATGGAGAACCCATAGTTAGTTCCATCCCATTCTCTCTCTCTCTCTCTCTCCCCTTCCCAAATGAATAGAGAATGGCAGATTTTGAAAATTTAATGACTAGGTTAAGGATATTTTTGTCTTTTTACATTATCTGTTAAGACTTAACATTGGAGAGTTCAACAAGGTACATATAAGTTGTTTTTAAAAGTTTAGGACATATATAAGTAGTTTCTCAAATGTACAGCGTATACCCTTTATTTTTTCGAGTTGAGTTATGTGACTGCCATGTGAGTCACTTAAGTTGGGGTGTTTTTGTCAAACTGTGTTAGGGCGTCACTTTGCTTGGAGGCAGCTATAAAAGCCTCATATAATGTTTGTAGAAGGATTTCCAGTTTCAAGTGGTGATTTCCATTCCTAAAAGTGGGTTGTTCTTCGTTCTAGTTTCAAGTGTACTATTTCACCTTAAGATTCAACACTTCTTGTTGCTGTCTTCTACTAGTTTTGTACTTTTGTTGCATCATTAGCTCTGCTGTAGAGAACTGTACTGTTTTGATTAATCTTTTGAAATAGTTGTAGCTAACTACAAAAAAATAATCCTGCATCACATACTCTTTGTTGGATGTTATTGAATAGTTGAATTTAATAATGGAAGAGGACCTTTTAGTAATTACCTGTCACACCATGTACCTTCCAAAAAATTGTCCTCATTACCCACATTATATATTATTCCACTAATAAAAGGATAAGGGCCTTCTGATACCTTTTCAAACAGCATAACATAGGATGATAGGACTGCTTATTTGAGGTGGTCCTCATGCAAGACACATGGTGCCATACTTTGCTGTCACTGTCCTCCACAGGGGTGCTGAGGTGCAATACCAAATTACCACCACTTGTCTAACAGGGGTCTTATCTGCTGGAGGGGTCTTAAATTGAGGCCTCCTCCAACCTTTGGATGATATATCATATATGTGCCCAATATAAAGGAAAGACATCCTTATAACCTTGTATCCTGCTCTTTTGTTTCTGGTATTTGGAATGTTGTTTGTTCTCTCTTTGGATACAGATGGGCTCCCACACAGGATGTGGTAAGTCTATTCAGCCCCTCCTTCCTGAGACAACAGAAGAAAAGAGGGAAGTACTTATGGAAGGCAGCAAGAGCTGCTACAGTATAGACTATATGGAAGGAAAGAAACGTAAGACTTTTCTCTGAAAAAAGTAAATCAAAGGAGGAAGTTATTGAAGCCATAAAAATCAAAGCTGCACATTGGGTGATGACCATGGAGCTACTAAAAAATTTCTCCATGAATGAGATTCTAAGAAGTTGGACTGAAGTAGCACAAATAGATGCACCCAAAGTAGTTGTGAGAGTGGAATGGAAGCCACCTGCATTGAACAAACTAAAACTAAACTTTGATGGCAGTTCCTTTGGTAACCCAGGAAGGGCAGGCATAGGGGGTGTGATTAGAAATCATCTGGGTGTGGTGGTGTCACTCTTCTCAGGACCAATAGGTATTGGTGACTCAATACAGGATGAATCCCTAGCCCTACTTCAAGGTCTAAAGATGGATGAGCAGATAGGAGCAACAGATATAGAAATAGGAGACTCA